CCTGATATTCGAAAACGTTTATATTCAAATACAATTATTAGTAATAATTTATCGAATAATTCCAATGAATCTAATGAACAAAAAAGTAAATTATCAAAAGTTATTGATGAAATTGAACAATGTATTTATTGTTTATATGGTCTTGTATTACGTAAATCAAAAATGAAATATTTAAATGATCATAACTGTCGATCGGTATGAATTTTTTTTTTCTTTTGAAATAAATTATTATTAATAAAAATATTTTCTAGCTTGAGTTAACATTAGATAAAGCGAGTCTTGTTTTTTATGCTTTACGACCAAAACAATTACCTGGTTATGAAGGTCGTGTTTGTACAATAACAAATGAAGTAGAAATAAAGAAAAATAATAATGATAAAATAAGAATAATTTTATTTATTTAGACAGAAAGTTTATTTCAACGATTTGAATCTATGATTGAATGGGATGATGAACGTGAACAACGACGAAAACTTTTATTAAGTTATATAGCTGATGCAGCATCGATTAATAGTCAAGGAAAACAAAGTGATGAACTTATACATTTATCTGATCAACCATTTAAATCAAATAATGCGTAAATATTTTTTTTTAATAATTGTCTTTTTATTTGTTTATGAAAAAAAAACTTATTTAATTTTTTAGTTTATTTGAAAAAGATTTATATTATCTATTTGCGGATTATTATCTTAAAATGGGTTCAAAAGATGTAGTAACAAATGAATCATCGAAAAAGTACATATAACAAAATAATTTTTTGATTGTTTCTTTTTTATTATGAACTTTGTTTTTTTTTGTTCTTTTTATTAATTAGAAAAGCACAAGAATATTATATAAAAGATTTATGTCTTAATACAAGACGATTTGATTCATGGGCTGGTTTGACAGTTATTGAATTTTATAAAATCGAAGAATTTATTACAGTAAGTATTTTAAAATTAAGAAAATTCCAAAAAATATTTAGTTTTATAAGTTCGGATTACAATTGTTGAATTATTATTAAGTTCGTACATTATTCTAATTTAAAATCTTTGATAGAAATATTTTTTTATAGTCTATTCTGAGTAGAAACAAATGAGCTATTGTATAGAGACAAACTTATACTTTAACTGAATAAGAGTTCTATTCTATTTTTGATGTTAATGTAGACTTATTCAAATAAAACTATTTTCTTGTATTTATTTGTTACTTATATCAATCTCATCTGTTATGTATCACATACTATTGGGATTTAAAGTACAGATGTGTAGTGTCACTCTACTGTGTAGGATTAAGCTAAGAAAGTTATTCTCAGTCAGGATATACAATGCGAAAGGTGTTCACCATGCACATCTCTAACTTGAAGTCTCATTCTATCAAATATCTAGTAAATTAAGGATCTAATACTACATATGACTTAGTGTACAACAAATGTCTGAAGTGATCACCATAAATGCCCTTTTTGAAATATTGACAAAAATATCAGAATATGTTTCTTCAACTAGATCCTTGATAGAAATCTAGTTGGCATGTTTTTTTCATATATCCTCGTATGAAGAAATCATATGAGGTTAATGTGAAGTCCACTGTCTAGAAGAAATATTTTTCGAAAAATTCGATAGAACACGTCTATTTTAATTTTGTATTCATTTCAATTAAATAAAATCTTTCTATCGAAACATAAACTAATTTATTTACAACATAACTGTTTTCTATTTTATCTAGGCTGATGATTTTGATCCACGTATATTTAATGTACATATGTCTGCTTCATGTTTTTTTCGACAAGCTGTTTCTGTTGACAGTAATAATCATACACTTTGGATGGAATATGCTGAAATAACTTATATATTACAATCATATTGTTCAAAATATGTAAATAAAACAACGCCTTTTTTGTTTTCTCATTTGAATAATATTATTCTGTTGTTTTTTCTTTTTAATTTAGAAAGATAAAGCAACAGATTATGTTCCTGATCGATCATTTTTACTAAATATATGTAAAGAAGCATATGAAAAAGCAAATATATGTACAGATAATGATGAAAATAAAGAAGATTGGACTTATTTGTATATGATGGCTAAAATTGAAGAAAAACTTCATCGAAATAAATTATTTAGTCCATTAAAAAAATATGCTGCTGTAAATTGAATAAAAGATTTGTTTTCTTTTTTGTTTTTGACTATGAAAAATATTATTTATTTTCTAGGCTCTTGATCTTTTACATGAACATAAAGCTGTTTATCCACGTAAACTTGGTCATCACACAGCAACATCAAGTTCCAAAGGTACTCTACTTGGTTGTCATGCTGTTGAAGTAAAATTTTAATAGTTAAAAAAAAAAATTTTTTTTTCTAAATATATTAATATAGATGTTTTATCGAATACATGCTTCAACGCTAAAATATTTAAATCGTCATAGTAAAGAATCATCAGATTTAACAATGGATAAATTAAATGAACTTTATGAATTTTTAACTGAAATGCAAAATAAACCATTTGCAACAAGTTATTATGAAAAATCGACTATGTAAGTTTTTATACATAGAGAATTCTTAATCATCATTTTTTTTTAATAGTAAAATTTGATGTTCTTATTATAAGACTTTCTAAAGTTGAACGTATATTTTTATCATTGCAAAGTGATACTTTGTAAAGAAAGGTGTTAGCAATATTCATTTCTAGCGATTCATCGCGAAAAAATTAGCCTTCTATTATTACATACTAGATGTACGCGTTGCTAATATATCAAACAGATTGATAAGTAGTATTGTTCTGATGTCATTATTCTTGTATAATTCATTTATTATATGCGTCAAAATAAAAGTTCGTTGATGATCGACTTTTGAGAAGTTTTTGCATTTTACAGATAGAACAATGTATCAATCAACAAGAGAATTAACATAATTTCCTCTATAAAACTTCATCTCTGTTTATTTCTTCTTTTTTTTTGTAGTCTGAGTGATTCTCATTCTGGTCAATTAATCAGTGATCTATATTTTCCTCATAAAACAGGTAATTTCCTTCATTAAAAGTCAACAATAATCGTTTGATTACAGAAGAAAATAGACGTCGGATTGCGGAGAAATACTTTCTCTATTCGCTAATGTATGCCTGATTAAGTTCTACTGTGTACCGCTGATATATCAATTGATGGTGGCGAGTTCGCCGCATTCTACCATAAGCGCGTCGAAGATGATATCATCTATTGACATATCAACGATATGAAATAGAACTTATGTATACAGTATTAGATAGAAGAAGTCTTTCTTTACAATCCTAGATATATATTCCGTTCTGTAGTCAAATCTTCATAATCGTCTTTTCTATAAAAACATTATTTAGATCTCATAATCGATCCTTGGTTTGCTTTATATAATAAATGTATATGGTTATGTATCGAAGGTCTTTATATATGTATAGCTCGTTATAATCGACATTATCGTGGATTTTATCGTCTTGCACATTTCTTTCATACGACTGAACATTATCGAAATGATCGACTTAGTTTAGAATTTTTACTTGGTGGAGGAGTACTTGAATTAAAAAATTATCCTAAAATTGTTGGTCTTTATCAAGAACGTTCAAAACATAATTTATTTAATGTAAGTTTAAAAAACATTTAAAAAAAAATTCAATATGACATTAAACAAATGTATATATACAGGGTATTTGGCGTATTCAACCATTAGATGCCGATCGTACTGGTTCATTTAATGCTTCGATGTATAAATCAACACGTTTACTTATTGATCTTCTTCTTCAATTTGATGAACATTTATTTATCTTATTTGAAGTTCTAAGACAATTATTAGATAAACCAGATCTTGACAAGTAAAAAATTTATAAATTGAAAAACATTACAATTCTTCTATTTTTGTTTTTTGTTTTTTGAAAGAAAATATCTTCGAGAAGTTGAAAGAAAAATGTTATGTCAACATGCAATTAAAAATCTTTTTCGAACAATTAAAAAAAAGGTTTATCTTTATTTGTACCTTTTTTTTCTGTTTTTTTACTATTATTCAAAGGGTTCTTTTTTTTCGTTTATTAGGTTTTACTTAAAACACGTGATGATATTGAACGTGAAGGTATAAAAATTATCTCATCAATTGATGAAAATGATACAAATAATATATCTTTACCAATTCTATTTGAAATATCTATTAAATTATATAATTTAATTAAAAATTATCCAGAATTTTATCAACATTCACATCTTGATGAATTAGTTGAATTAACTTTTCAACGTTATCGATCCATTCTTAAAGTAATAATAAAACTAAATACAAAATAAAAAATTATTTTTAATTTTATTTCAATTTTCTAGTATTCAAGTCATCTACCAGAAAATCCAAAAGCAGAAAATTTAACATTGATATATACACCAAAAAAATTAAAACAGAAAGTAATACATATTATTAAATAAAAGAAAAGTGAAATTAGACATAAACAAGAATAGAAAACAATTAGGACAATTCTTACGAAATTCCTAATTTAATAACCGATCGAACTAAAAATTTCAAGATCAATCCCTAGATTAAGAATTAATATATAGGCATCTGTGTGTCTTAGAGTTCGTTTCCAAATCCAATCATACAGATCTCAAGTTAGCAACAAAATCTAGCTAAACACTGCACGCTACAACTTAACAAAGGTCGATTTTTCAAATTTCTCTTTATCAATTCTTTGTATGTGTAACATACACTCTTAACAATAAATTATTTCCTTTTTAAATAATTGACTTTGCTTAACTTAAATATTTCGTTATTTCAGAAACGACCAACAACTACTGACCAATCAAATGTCAATAAACGACCATGTGTTGAATCATCAACATCAGCATCAACATCATCATCATCTCAAGCTTTTCAAGGGCTTGCTTCATTTATTGCAAATGACTTTGTTACAATTAATGAATAAATAAATCAGATATATATGTTTTTTTTTCTCTTTCTGTTCACTAATCAAGAAAATGATATTCTATTTTCTATAAATAAATAATAATTTTTACTTCTAGAACATGACTACAAAACGACGATTAAAACGTTATATACCAAATTTAAGTGAACTTGAATATGATTTACAATGTGAATGGGGCACAGAATGTTGTGTTCGTTTAAATGACCTTAAAGAATTTTACCAACATTTGGATGAACATCTATCAAATTATATTAATCAATATCAACAAGTGCCAAGTAAGAAAAGCAAACAAGTATAATATTTCTTCAATATATTTATAGATTTAACTTGTCAATGGCGTAATTGTGGTCATGTAGAAGAATTTGATATATCATCATTTATTCGACATGTACAATTTCATGGTTTTCATACTAAATTGAAATATCTTGGAATGAAAACATGTGAATATCATCATCCTAATATTCCACCATGTCAAAAATCAAGTGAAAATCGAAATATTATTCCTGATCTACCTGAAGAATTTCGTTGTTCATGGGGAGATTGTCAAGTATTTCAATTATTCACAATATTCTTTCTCGTTACTTTTTTTTTTCATCTCATAGTTTACTAATAGTCATGCACAACTTTTCTATGAACATGTTAATCAACACGCTGGCTCTGATATTTGTCGTTGGATAGGTAAGATTTAAGATTTCTTTCAATTTTTCCTATGTGCGTC